GATAATTAAGGGGCACACCTAATGTAATGGCCTAAAAAAGGGTGATTTTTGGGAATCTTTATTAAAAAAATACTTTATCAATTGTTTCAAAATTTTGAGAATATATTTATACATGTTTCAAGAATATACAGTGAAATTTTTGAAGAAAAAAATTAATTATTTTTTAAGTTATAGTCGATCTCCAACGGCGCGAAAAAAAGGTCCTGAGCTACTGCAGTGATTCCGGCCCTCTCCGTTGATGAAATCTAAAAAAAAGTTCAAATAAAACCCCAATGCCTCGTAGTATACTTAATAAAAATTAATATATAGCATGGCCGCAGTCAATTAACGCCTGAAAGTGTACTTAATATTTCCAATTGGCAGCAAGTCGCGAAGGAAACTAATGAGTTTCGCGCTGCTGTTATTCTCAATAGGGAAGAATTTAAAAATAATTTTTTGCATTTCCGGATGCTGGTCTGGCCAGAACTCGTATTCATGACCATCCGCATGGTGATTTGCTTTACGTTACGCTAAGGCTAACGCGGTAAAAGCACGCTTTGCAAAATATTAAAATAATTCCATGATAGAAGGCTCAAATAAGTAAGAGTAAGTGCTGTCAAAAGGCTCTCTGGGTTTCTGCGTTTGCTACATTTGTTTGTGCATATTTGAACGATTATCTATGCACTACTCACATAACCAAAACTGAGGTAGAGAGTGCTTCTATGGCTCACTTGGCAATGAGTGAAGAATAAAAGCAAACGAAAAAACCAACAATTTTATGGGTCATATAAGCAACACATGGCCTATGACTTGGTCATAATTCATCGCCATTAACAAGGATAACTGTTGACATACCAAAAGGATATTTGCAACTAATACACCTATATACACATTTGCGCTGTGATGAACGTACAACCCACAGTGCTAAGATCGTTAAGACAGCTAAGACGGTTAAGGCGCAGCTGCGTGGATAAGTTGGGCTATAATGGCAGCTTCTCGTCATTTGTTCAATGAGTATAAAAGAATGAATGAAAGAATGTCAGTACGTTGGAATGAATGTACATTTACTTATATATTATATATGTATATATAATATTAGGTATAGTAAAAAGAAATCCATTATTTTCAAAATAGATGGCGTTATTTATCCGTATCTCGCGTTGCATAAATCCGGAACTGGATCCGCTAGGTGGCGTTAGGAAGATGATATTTCGTACTTAAAAAGCTTTTCTGACAGTTTTGTGATTGGTTAATTCTGTTTTGTTTGAGCGTGCGTCAAAGACGAAAGACGAGCACTAACAAAGAGCAAACACGCTATATCTTACAGTTTTTGCTTCGATAAGGGCGGATACGCAAACCAGGCGTCGGAAAATGTGCGTTATGGTTATGATAATGTTACAGTCCATCAAATACAATTTCGGTTTCATTCCGGTACTTTTGACGTAAAAGATGCTTCAAGGAGTGGAAGGCCAATTGTAGCAAAAGTGGATAAAATCATGGACATTGTTGAGTCCAACCGTCATGTAAGCATTGTTTGGTTTGCCCAAGAGCTAAGGATTGCACAATAAATTGTTTGGAACCATTTGAATGAGGCTGGATACGAAAAGAAAAAATTAATCCATTCATTTTTATGCAAAAATAATGGATTTATTTTTACTACACCTAATATTATATTTATTAAGGAATGTATGCTTATGTACGTAAGTATGAATGCATGATGTGGTAATCATAGTGGATTTGCTGATAATCTCTGATTTATCTTAATGCTGGTTTGCCAATGTAATATAATACACACATATACATTATAACTAATACTGGAGCATGAAATAAAAGAAGGCAAAGTGAAAATAATGTAAAAAAAAAAAATCGAATGCAAGGAGAAGCTTTGAGCAAGCAAAGTAAAGATCTTCGAACAAGTGAAATACTATTGTGCAAATATGTGAACAAATCAATTTGTTTCGCCTTCGGGTACCTTGTGGGATGGGTGGTCTCATGCGCATGTATAGTACATATGTACGTGTGCACATATTTGGCTACGCACCATGCTGTTTGCTAAATGGCTAAGCGAAAAGTAGTAAGTACACAAAATTATTGCTTGTTTGCGTTGTTTTTTTTTTGGTGAAATTTCTGAATTTTTCTCACTAAAATCTGTTCATATCTATATTGCTTGTTTATTTATTTACGTATTTCCTTGAATGTTTTCAACGTAATCTTTTCGCAAACAATTGTTGGTAATGAAATGAATATGAGGGGTGAAATGAATAGCAATGTTTGGTAGGGATGTTGACAAATTATTGGCGATAAATTTATATGTGTCTGTTGACAGTGAATAAATGCGAAATGAATGCCGTCCAATAAAGTATGGGGGCTAGTAAAAAGTTATCCATTATTTGTACATTACATTCTTTGAAAGCTTTGCAATAGTTGGAAATATCTGCTCGAAAATTTTCTGCTATTTTGAGGGTAATATCACTATGCCTCTCTCATAAGCACCCTAGTCCAGACTGTTGGAAAATGAGTACAATCGATTGCGACAGACTTCTCTAGAGAACAATTCTTCACCAGCGCAATTATTCGCCATAGACACGATTATTCGGAGCACGAGAATTTCTGCTACAACCTTCCAAATCCTCGGTTCGACGCGATCTCGATGAGAAATTCGATGGCGTGAAAAGTTCAGCTGTTGACAACCGGAAGTTACAGGAAGTCATACTCGACATCCCGCACTTATGAACTCCTCAAAACTCTAGAGCCGCAACAAAATATTCAAAGCTCTAGCCGGCAGCAACTGGGGTGAAGATAAAGAAGCTTTGGTGGTAACCTATAAAGTAATTGTTCGGCTGGTCGTAAAAATCCATTATTTTCCGACCTGGGCGCCGGGATCGAATGAGAGGCACTTGAAGAAGTTACCGGCTTCTCAGAACACTACCATCAGGACCACGAAAGAAAACCTCCTCATGTCGCCGGAGCATCACTTGCACAGCGCAGAATATAGTTTACGAGTAAAGGAGCATAATGATTTACAGTGCAAGCAGTTCCTATTGGGATGTTACCGTAGTAGCACCCCAATAGGCATTAAATAGAAGCTTAACCTCCACCTTGGCACATCAGATAGGGAGTAATAGACTAGTAGGATACAATCCACCTACATGTGTAACAACCGCTGGACAGGACGGCGTACAGACAGGCACTGAACGCCATTCACCAAGAGTCAGTCAACAGCTTCAAAGACTTCCTTCCCATGAATGACGTACTAGGAGGTAAAGTACCACCTATAGCAGACAACGGGCTCGAGCTGCATCGAGAGACCCGCGCGATACTGGCACAACTGAGGTCTGATTACTGTAGCTGGTTAAACTCTTTCCTATAAAGACTAGAGCCCAATATACCCAACGTATGCCCAGCAAGTGGAGAGTCTCCGCAAGACACTATCCACCTCTTCACACGCCCCCTTAAGCCGACACATCTAACCCCCCTCTCACCCTGGTCCGATCCCGTCGAAACAGCGCATTTCCCGTACCTCTCTTTAGATAACCTCGGTGACTTAGATTGATCACAAAACTGTCTCTAAGCGGGGTTTACGTAGCCGCTACAACAACTTCAGAGCTGCAACGGAAACATCACAGCGTTAGCCGCCAGGGAATGTCAACCCATCCGAATGTATTTTTGACATGAAATAAAAGGCCATGATTCGACCGACATCCGAAATTAAAGAAAATTCTTTTTCCTATAGCGGTCGTTCAGGAATGTCAATCACTCCAACTGTATTTAGGATACAAAATAGAAAGATCCTCGTAAAAATAAATCGGGTGCTCGAAGGTGGCATAGAAGAAACTGTAGGTACCTTCCTTACCGAAAATTCGCTTCAGCCGTTACACCAAAAGCGCAGTCGAAATTGGGAACGTCCTTTCTGAGCCGTTAGATACCAAACGAGGTTTTTGAAAGGATGACTCTTTATCATGTGATTTCTTCAATTTGATGCTGAAGAAAATTATAAGAGCTACAGAGCTGAACAGAGCAGGTACCATCTTCTATAAGGGTCTACAGCTGCTGACGTACACCGATTATACTGATATTTTTGGCCCGGCAATCTCGCGATGAGTTCTGTTTTCTCCAGACAGGATAAGGAAGCGAAGTATTTGCGAATCGGCTCACGTTGTTGCTGAGAGTCATAATTATGTCTATCTAGGGACGAGTATTAACACCAAAAATAATGCCAGCATTAAAATCTAACGTAGAATCATTCTTGCAAAGGAGCTACTTTCGAACGAGTAAGCAACTGAAAAGTAAAGTAATCTCTCGACGAACGAAAACCAAACTTTACAAGTCACTCATCATTTCCGTCTGACTATATGGCGCAGAAGCGTGATATAAACTTCTGATGAGTCGGCTCTGGGAGTCTTCGAGTGACAAGTTTTGCAAACGATTTATGGTTCTTTGTTCATTGACAACGGCGAATACCGCAAACGATGGAACGATGAGCGGTTCGAAGATATTGACATAGTTCATCGAATGAAGAGACAGCGACTATGTCGATTTGGTCATGCCGTCATTGCAAGTATTCGATGCAGTACCCGCTGGTGAAAGCAGAGGAAGAGGAAGACCTCCACTCCGCTGGAAGGTTAAGGTGGAGAGTGACCGGGCTTCACTTGATATTTCCAATTGGCGCCAAACAACAAGAATATATTCCCAGTGCCGACTTGTACGAAATATGTTGGATGTTGGTGGAACCGGGATATGAACCCGAGCCAGTACTTTTTACTGAAACCTGTTCGTTGAAAACTCAGTAAATTTCTTTCTTTGGGAAATTAAAACACAGCTACACAGCTTATCGAAAATTATCCACATTTTACTCACATATAAATATGTACATACATACACATGTATATGTGTATGCAAGCCAATAATTACTCTTACATTTCTACGTAGATTGAAAAGAGTGGATACAATCTGCTCGAACTCGTTCAATGCAAAACGCACTCAAACTTGTATGATAAAAACAAAAAAAAAAAATACAAAGAAAACAAAGCAATCACGGCGAAGCGTAGGCGAATAACGGAAAATATGCAATCAGTATAAAAACGAAATTTATCGTGTATGGATGGAGAAAGGTTTGGAGTAAACTAAAATTGTCGCCAAAATACATTTAATTATGAATTACGATACAAAGTTCGATAGCGAAAAGCGAATCTGGTCGAATGTAGCACCAGACCGTCTCTTCAATCCAGATAAATCGATTGGCGGTGTCGCCTTGCATATGTTACGCGCCCAGCCACCAAATGCGATTTGTCAAATTTGCGACTCGGAAGAGACTGAACTGACCTATAGCAAAGCGTACTCGTATGCGGTCAGCGTAGCGGCTCATCTGAAAGGGCTGGGTCTTGGCTGTGATGATGTTGCAGGCATTGTCGCCTACAATACAACGCTACTGATGCCGGTGATCGTTGGTTGTTGGGTGAATGGCGTGGCTGTAAATACGATGCATCCGATATATGAAGAAGGTAAGTAATTACATGTGGTACATATGTATGTCATGTATGTATATATGTATGAGTACGTAAGCTCGTTAAATAAATTGTCATTTCAGATGTAATCAGAGAATTGTTCCAAGTAACAAAACCAAAGATTATTTTCTGTGATGGAGTGTGTTATGAAAAAGTCCGCGAGGCTACAAAAATGTTGAATGTCCCGATATATACATTATGCAATCATTTTGATGGAGTCAAAAAAGTGGAAGAGATACTGTTACCCGTGGAAGGGGAAAGTATGTATGGGTGAGTCAAATGCTATTGTTTTTTTTTTTTTGCTTATAATACTCTTTATTTAAATATAATTTTCTTATAGAGCGGAGCCTCTTAAGCATGGAGCCAATCAAACCATGGCCATCCTACCCTCCTCCGGTACAACAGGCGTACCAAAGCTGGTCTGTAATTCAAATCACAAACTTTTGGTTGATTTTTGGTAAGATTTCCCTGAAGCATCTCTATTATATTGATTTATCATTAAAATCGTTAGTTGTTTAATCAGCCTCTGTTCTTCATTTCTACCAGCCTCAGCAATGGCTCATCCGTTATATTTACATTTGCTACAGCGCAATGGAACACTGGCATTTCCCTAATGGTCGTGAATATACTCTGCGGTGGTACGCGTATCGTCACTACCAAATCCTACTCACCAGAATATTTCCTGGAGCTCATCGTAAAATATAAAATATCGATGATTTTCTCTTCGCCCGTACTAGTTGGTGCACTCGTGGATTTGCCGCAATGCACGCAGGAATCCTTGGCCAGTATACGTATACTTGTGATTACAGGTGGCAATGCCACGCGCTCCATGCAGAAAAGAATACGTGATAAATTAACTAATGGGTATCTATTAAACTCTTATGGCACCACGGAAATTGGCGCTATATCGGTGAACTATTCACAGGAAAAGGCCGAGAGTGTTGGTAGAATAAATATTGGCTCATATGTGAAGGTTATCGATCCGGTATCGGGAAATCTTTTGGGACCTAATGAGAAGGGTGAAATTTGGGCACGTGTTACGGGTGATTGGATGGGCTTTTACGGTAATGCTGCTGCGACAGCTGAGATGATCGATGCAGATGGTTTTATCAACACCGGCGATATTGGCTACATAGATGATGAATGTTATATGTATTTAGTGGATCGCAGCAAGGATATAATGAAATATTATAATTTCCATTTCTCACCAACTGAAATTGAGACAACGATCTCGTTGCTACCGGACGTTTTGGATGTTTGTGTGTTTGGTGTATCTGATGGGAATGGAATGGATCTGGCTGCTGCGGCGGTGGTCTTGAAGACGGGCAGTACACTTACTGAGGATGATATTGTGAAATTTGTTGCTGAGAAAAATAAAGTGAAGCATAAGCAGTTGAATTACGGTGCATTCATCGTCGCTGAGATCGCAAGAAATGTCAATAGCAAAGTAATGCGCGCAGAGATGAAGCAAATATGTTTGAACATGGAAAGCAGCAAGAAGAGAAAGATCTAAAATAATGAAATTTCCGTATTTATTTATTTTTTTACAATGTTCAAAGTCGTCAAGTTCGATATGATATTTTGAAACTGAAAGCCTGCTTATTTGTAATTGAAGAGATTTTCATTTAATAAGAATTAAAATCTATCAAAACCACTTGAAACTTGTTACACGGAGGTCTTTTGAGGTCGCCTACTGTGAATAAAAATTCAAAATGAAAATGGAAATGGAAATGCCGAAATTTTTTTTTCTAAAATTCATCTATGTAATTCACTTGAAACTCAACTTTCGGGGATTTTTGGGATCGCAGGTAACGGCCGAGTTCGTTTTTCCAAAATACAAATGAAAGATACAATATGGTGAGCTTTTGGAACATTTTTCAACTACTATTAACATTGATACCGCTGTGCTTGAATCAGAAAACTTGCGATATTCCAAGTTTCCAACGCAGTTGAGTTCTTCTTCTTCCTCTGCTTCTACGGTCGGGTACTGCATCGAAAACTTTCAGAGCTGAAGTATTCTTATCTATCTAGATCACATGATCTAGTCAGCATAGCTGCTGTCTCCTGATGTGCTGAACAAGTCAATGCATTACTCGTGCAACTCATTCTTTCGACGGCTTTGAGGTACGGTTATCTCCCAAAATTTCCCAAAGTCGATTCATCAGATATTGCCATAGTCCATGCCTCAGGACGGGAATGATGAGGGAGTGGACTTTACTTTTTAATTGACTACTCTGAAACCTTCTACAGGAGAACCAGTAGTTTTGACGGTTTCAGACCACTGGGTATTCAAAGAAATGATTGATATAGTGTGAGGGTCAAGTCTAAATAACTAGTAGTCGAGGCTAATAAAGTATCCAGACCTTCATTGTTGCAATCTGGTCTCGACAGGCAGCTCGAGATCTTGTTGTCGTTATTGTTTAAGAGACTTGCTTGCCCCACATGACTAGAATAAGACATCCAGGTCACCTAATGATTCAAGAAGTGGGCTGTTTCACCTGGTGAGAGCTGTTAGATAAGTGGGCTTTAGTCCGAACAATGAATAGTTGAGTATACTTCAGTATCTAGATCTTTATTGTGCTAGTATTACTCGGATCTCGCGTGGTAGCTGGAGCTCGTTGTTGTTGTAGCGGTTCGCTAACCCCGCTTAGGCACAGGTTCGATCAGTCTAAGTCGCCGAGGTCATCTAGTGGTAGGTCCAGGAAACGAGCTGTTTCGACGGGGTTGGACCAAAGGGAGAGGGAGATTAGATGAATGAGTTTGAGGGGGCATGTGAAGAGGTGGTTAGTATCGTGCGGAGACTCTCCACATGCAGGGCATACGTTGGGTATGCTGGGGTCTAGTCTAGATAGGAAGGAGTTTAACCTGCTACAATATCCAGACCTGAGTTGTGTCAGGGTCACGAGGGTCTCTCGAGGCAGCTCGAGCTCGTTGTCTGCTATGGGTGGTGGTATTTCTCCGAGTACGCCATTCACTGGAAGGGAGTCCTTGAAGGTGTTGACTGATTCCTGGTGGATGGCGTCCAATGCTTGTCGGTACGTCGTACTGTCCAGCGGTTGTTGTATGTGTTGCTGGATTGTGTCCTTTAAGTCTAGTAATCCCTTTCTGATGTGCCTAGGTGGAGGTTCAGCCTCTATTAAGTCCCTACTGGGAGTATCCCTGCGATAGCATCCCAATAGGAACTGCTTGCACAGCAAAGCATTATGCTCCTTAACTCGTAGCATAGATGCTTCCCTGTGCAAGTGATGCTCCGGCGACATGAGTAGGTTTCCTGTCGCGGTCCTGAGGGCGGTGTTCTGGCAAGCCTGTAGCTTCTTCATCTGCGTCTCGTTCGTCCCCGGCGTCCAGATCGGTGCAGCATAGTTTACGATCGGCCGGCCAATTGCTTTGTAAGTAGCCAGCAAAGTTTCTTTGTCTTTACCACAGGTGCTGCCGGCTAGCGCTTTGAGTATTTTGTTGCGGCTCGGGTGTTTTGCGGCAATTGCGGTCGTATGCGGAATGAAGGAGTGCAGGCTGTCTAGGGTTACTCCCAATATTTTTAGGTTATTTACCGTCGGAGTTCGTCTTCTGCTATGGTTGGCATTGACAGACTCGCGCTGAATACCATTTAAAGAGCGCCGGTACGCGGCACTGTGCTGGGGTGATTGCGTATAATACTAAAAGTGGAAATTTCTTTTTATTGTGAGAGTAAGACATCTTACTCTCTCAATTTCGTTACTATTTCATTTTGGTCTTCATATACTGTATAATAGATTATACATATTGAGATTAATGAAATCTTTTTAACTATTTATTATTACCTATTAGATGTACAAATATACAAGGCGCAGTAGGTAGACACGTGTTCGATACCAATACAATTTAATTCCTTCCGATTTATTTGCACACCATCAACACGAAATCACCTGGATATTGAACTCCACAATGAAATTGTATTAAAATTACTTTATCTGCCCATTCTCACCGCACTTGGCGCATTGCCAGTCATTTGCGGCCGCGGGTGACAGATTGCAACCACTTGCTGCGCCGTCACTGGGCTCAAAGTGTCTCGAATGTAACCATTCCTTTGGCAATGTGCGGCTCACGTCACTTGATACCACACCAGAGGCAACTGAGTGCCACGTGATAGTGCGGTTGAAGGCTCTCTCCTACCAAGTGTGCACTACACATCGTGCGCACGAGAACGTACTCGAACAGGTATGAATATATTTGTATGCATAAGTGTGCAATAGCTTTACTGCCGTGATAAATGCAGTCGTCAACATTGAGTAAAAAATATCATTCGTACAATGCATTTAAAATAATTAAGTGCTGTCGCTATTGCCTTCGCTGGAGTAAATAAAAATAAAAAACGTATAGGAATCCTTGAATTTCATCCTGCCATTCCTGTCCTCGGGCTTCGTTATGTTGCTGGGTGATAATTGTGTAAAATCGCGTTGTTGCGTTGGCAACGCTGACACAAAAATCGAGTGATGCACACGATTGTTGCCGTTGTAGTTGTTGCAGTTGTTGCTTTTACTACATTTTACAATAAAAAAAACCCAACTATGCTAGTAAGTATTTGTGCGCTCCTGGCAGCGCAGTCGATTCATCTGTTATTTCTGCTTTCTTATTTCGCCGACTTGCAGGTGTGGAAAAATGGCGAAAATGGCAAGTATTTAGTTGGCACAAGCGGGGAGGGGTATTGCGTGGTTGGTTGTTAGGTTGTTTGTTCGATGGAATGATGAGAGGAGGTGCCTCGAATTACAGGCAGTTTTTGCGCTTCAGTGCGTGAAATTAATTAAAAGATTTCTGATTTTCATACTTTTCCCTTTGTTTTGCTGGGATTTTTTTGCATCTGAATTCTGACGATTTGAGTATGAAAACGAAAATATGGCAGTAATTAATTCGATTGCGAGAAAAGCTGATCATCGCTGCAATTGAAACGTTGCATAACGCAACATACATATGTATATATGTCAAAATTATCGATTGATAATGAATATTTTAAATCTGTTAATAATAATTGAGTTAACGTGGTAGACAGGTAGAAATAAACATACATACATATAGTAGATCAAATGCATTTAAACCATATTTTTTCATAAAATTTCTCTTTTATTATAATATTTGAACCCTGGTGTTATATTTGAAATACTACATAATTCAAATAGCCGTCTCGCTCACTTTCAAACAAATTCGTCGGTATCCCAGCCATAACTTGACGAGTGACGAGTAAACGCGGTCTCTCGCATATCCTACAAAAAAGCTCAATGGTGTCAAATTGTAAGATCTCGGTGCCAATTGATATCGCCAAGACCAGATATAAAACGATTTTCACTCGTGTTGTATGACGCATGGTACCATCTTGTTGAAGCCATTTATTGTCAAAGTCAACTATAACGCTCCGATTTGTTTCGTTTCCAAAGAAATAGGGTTCAATTCCACCTCCAGAGCGCACCACACAGTAAATTTTTTTTTAAGTGTAATGAGCTCTCTTTAATTATTTGTAGATTCTCGTATCCTCAAATGTGACAATTTTATATATTTATGTATCCCCCTAGCGAGAAATGTGCCACGTCGCTGAAGAAAATTTGATTCGTGTGCCAATCGACCTAAGTACCGTGTTGTGAATGGTCAGCTGAGTGCAGTTGCTGTGTTATCTGAACTTTACGTGGATGTTGGTGTAAGTACAAAGTTCAAGTGCAGGATACGGCATAATAAATTCGCAGCTCTTGATAAAGCCCAAAAATATACACATTCGGGTCTTCGGCTACACTTTCACTGACCTTAATTTTCCATAATTTTTGGATGCATGCCTAGACCATTAATCTAACACAGGCCTTCTGAATGACACTATGCAATGCTAATCACTTGGCTATTGTGGCTGTCGTTGGCTAAAAAATAATATAAATAAACGTAGAAACCTTGAAAACTGTTCGAAATCGGAGGAAAATACGTACACTTCGCTAACAACGGTATATTTCGAATATGCCAACATTCGCAATCTGAATTATTAGTATATCATCTATAATCGAACGTAATCGATACCTTCATTTATGAGTAAAATAGGTTAGCCTCTTTCACCTATCAAGAAATGACTAATGATAGAGTTTGGTCTTTAATGTACGCTTCCACTCGCACTTGGCTCTTTCTTACTTGTTAAATAAAAAGTCACAGGATGACATATCGGGTGAATAAGGCGGTTGTGGCAACACTTCGATCCCTTTAGAGGCCAAATACTGGGGCATGCTGAGAGCGGTGTGACACGGCGCGTTGTCTTGATGAAATATCCAGTTACGAACGCTGTCTGGGCGCATCCTATTGATACGTTTTCACAATCTTTCGAGTACTTGGCGATCGTAGACTTAATTTACGGTTTGCTCCTGTGGAAGAAATTCTTTGTGGACGATTCTACTGCTATCAAAAAGGCAATAATCATCGTCTTGACCTTCGACTTGCTCATGCAAGTTTTCACGCTTTAACGCCCCTCCTTAAACTCTTTATGCCATCGAAACACCTGGGCAGGCCTAAGAGCACTATCACCATGCATTTCTATAATTCTAGCGTACGTTTCCGAAGCTACGAGTATTTCGCTCAATATGGCCCAAAATCTTATCGCGAGGCGTTGCTCTTGATTTCGTTTTTCCATTTTCGTGACGAGCACCACGAGCACACGTTTACTCAATACGACGCAGCAGGCGAACTCAACAAGCTAGAGCGATGTCAAATATATTAATGGAGAGGAGAAG